CACAAAAGAATGATGAAGGGCAGGAAAGGGCCAACTATTATTGTTGCCGCATGATGGTGGGTGCAGAGAACAAATACTCGCCTATCGAGAAGATGTGCCTCGCACTTATATTCCCAGTCAAAAAGCTCAGGCATTATTTCTTGGCACATCAAACCATGCTCATATCCAAGGCGGACCCCATTAAATACATCATGACAAGATCAGCACTATTGGGGAATCTAGCCAAATGGCAATATGACTCATGGAATTGGATATCCTATATGTCCCACAAAAGGCGATCAAAGGACAAGCCCTTGCAGCGCATCCAGTTCCAGACGATTCTCCCCTGAACACGGACCTTCCTGATGAAGAAGTCTTTACGGTCGAGGCCGGATTCTCAAAGTGGGAAATGTACTTTGACGGCGCATCCAGAACAGAACAAATGGAGGGTCAAACTCCACCGTTCAGGCGCAGGAGTTGTATTCGTCACACCACAGAAAGGCGTTATACATTTCTCCTTTGCGTTACTGAAAGGCTGTTCAAACAATGAAGCTGAGTACGAAGCGCTCATTGCCGGCCTCCTGGTAGCGTTACAAATTGGTATAAAGGTCCTCCTATGGGGATTCGCAATGAATCATTCGCCAGCTCCAGGGTACATATGAAGTACGCAAATCAGAATTAATGCCCTACCACGCCGCTAGATTGCTATGGAGCTCATGAAACAGTTCGAGCTACTCGAATTCTGCCACGTACAAAGGAGAAAGAACGACAAGGCAGACGCATTAGCCAAGTTAGCAGCCGCTCTAGCAGCCCCCCTGGTGGCAGAACAGAAGTCATTATACATGACAGGGTCCTTCTCCCAGACCTGAAAGAACTTATCCAGGATTGCAACGCTGTCACCATAGTGGAAATGGCTCCCTGCATGGAGGTATCTATTGAAGATTGGAGACATGATTTTATTAACTACTTGAAGCACGGCAGATGGCCAGAAGAAAGCCACAAAAGAACCCAGCTTCGTAGGAGGTTGCTCCAGTATGTGTATTTCAACGACACTTTATACAGAAAGTCTTATGACCAGCTGTGGCTGAGATGTTTGTCTAGTGATGAAGCAAAGCAAGCCATGTACTTCGTACATTCAGGGGTGTGTGGTGCCCACCAGTCTGGGCCAAAGATGCGAGTGAAGCTCAAACAGATGGGGTACTACTGGCCTACAATGGTCCAGGATTGTATGGACTATGCTAAACGCTGCCACATTTGTAAAATCCACGGAGACTATATAAAGACAATGCCAAAGCCCTTGCATCCTACCGTAGCATCCTGGCCTATCTTTCTGATCTGCTAGTACCTTCACATCTAAAGCCCTAGAAAACAAATATTAAACAGTTTTACATAAATAACTGTTTAGTGTATTATAGGACAAATATAACTGATTGGTATAATTGTTTGTTGTAATGCTAATATTACATTATGTCTAAGTAACTATTTGGTGTAACTCTTTATTGTATCAGAAGAAATGCATAGAATGGTGTTAACAAAACATGTAATGCATGGTCGAGTGTGGTTTTTTCGTTGCTATATAATGAGATAAATTGCACTTAATGAAGAAAATATAAAGAAAAGTTGACAGTTGCACAAGTAAAAAAATTTCGGTCAAAAATTATGGCAATGTTCTTAAACCATCACAATTCTTAGACTATAGACGATTTCAACGAACTGATGAAATTAAAGGCAAAATATGAAGACAAATGATTGGGATTTTATTGCATATCTTTATAATTTTAAATGAACATTTTTTCCCGTGTAAATATGGGATATTATTTATGAATTCAAATTTCAATTCGATTACTGTCATCATTTCTAGTTTAAAAATTTGTGCAACTCTTTGGTGTATCTATTTTTTGTGTATCTCCTTAATGTAAATATATGGTGCACTTATATAGCATATGGCGTTGGTTAATAGCAACAAAATATATGTTGTATCTAATTGGTGTCACTATTTGGTGAAACTATTTGATATATATCGTTGTTGTTGCTCTTTGTTGTCATTGGATGGTGCAACTGTCAGGTGTAATACTTTGGTTTAATGCTACAAGTCGTTTGATTTCTCTGTTTGGTGTCCCCGCATGATATACCTCTTTGGTGTGATTTATTGGTTCACTCAATTTTGTGTATATAATTGGTGTAACCATGTCGTGATAATAAATGGTATAACTTTTTGGATTATGTAACCAATTGAATGATAAATTTGATTGGTGTCGTAATTTCGTGTAATTATTTGGTGTAACTATTTGATTTATCATAACATATGAGTAACTGTTTAGTGTATCATAGGGCAAGTGTAACTAATTGGTGTAATTGTTTATTTAAAGTTGATATCATATCATGTCTAAGTAACCATTTGGTGTAACTCTTTGTTGTATCGGCTTGTGGCATTAACATTACATTCTACAAGACTAATCCGTACACAAAAGAGTATACCATTACAACTCTGTTTTTCTACTTGATGGTGCAAAAAAAAAATTTCTTTTTTGTTTTTGTTTTGCTGTAAAGTTCTCACAACCATTATGTTTGAATATGAAAAGAGTTCCACCATACATTTACTAGTTCCCTTATTTATAAGCTTCTATAGTAACATGTCCACATAGAATGACTAAAAATAATACAGCAATGACAAATATCTAACATGAATTTAAAAACAAAAGGTAGTGAAACTTTGTTAATTTTAAAAAGTAATCCAATCGCATAGACTCGCTACAAGCTTTTTTGTTGTGGCTCTTTAACCGTCCACAATGACCACATCGAATTTGCCTAATAAATTCTCCCCTTGACCTTATTCAATATTTTTTTGGTTGGCCAAGCTGCTTCTTAGATAATGGTGGCAAAATCTCAACTTCGTCCGCCATGAAGTTAGGACGACCAAGAGTCAGGATTTATGTGTCTCCATAAATTTAAACCTTGGCTGAATAAAAAAAAAATAGATTTTGATAATAAAACATCAAATACAAAAAATTAAGTTCATCTAGTGATAATTTTCAAGCACATCCTCATAGACATACAAAATTCGCAAGGGTTGGATTGATAATCTACAACCCAAATTCTAAATTACTCAAAATTCCAAAAAATATT